CACCTGTCTTTTCCGAGTACGCGTCAACTCACTTTTCCTACCACCTGCGACACTCTCAGTCAACAGCCCCGGGTCTGCTATCAACCATCGCCGCGTTTGCTAGTAGCAAAAGTCTGGTGTGGATGGAGCAGGTTGCACGAAGAGGCAACTTGGCCGTCTTTATATCCACTATCCAGAGTCTCAAGCCATATTTGGTCCGGTATTTTGACAACAATCCGCCATTCGATGCCAATTACCAACTGGTCAGCACTTGGGTAAACGACATTACCCGCATCATCACCATTTTTGGGCCCGTCATCATCGAGTGCCCCGAGTCGGTCTATGCCTTCGTTCCGGGCCTTTGCCCGACGTCGTCGATAATCTACCAGGTCTTTGCTAAGGGCGCGGGTCTTAAAGTCATCTGTAACTCGAATACTAGCTGGGACAAGCGGCTTTCTTGCCTTTCGTGCCACGCGGCAGCGAAAGCGGTGGCCGCTAAAGATCAATTCTTTGCCGTCGGTCTCGCAGACGGCACTATCCGGATCTTTGATAACTCCACGTTACAGGAGTCGGCAGTCTTGAGCCATCGTGCTCCTCTGCGGCATCTCGCATTCGGCAATGTGTCCAACATCCTAGCCTCCTGCAGCCCCCAGAAGCTTGTTCTGTGGGATCCGGATCACAAACAGCGATGGAGTGTGAAAATTCCAGGGATAGCCTCATCGGTATCTTTCAACACCGATGACTCGAAAATCTTTGTCACCTTGAAGAAAAACTTCAACCAAGAGATTCTTGCTTTCCGGACCGCGGACGGAGCCACCCTGGATCCCCTCAGGATTCGGTTCCGTGAAGATGGGTCAGAATCTGACACTTCGAGTTCCGATGGCAGAAACAGAAGCGTTGAGCGATACTGTCCTGAAGTCATCCGCTTTTCCCCCGCGCTCGGGTATGCGGCCGTCACTTTTCGCGCCTCCCATCTTACAATTTTCTCCCTAGATGAGAATGACAATCTCGAGAAACTTTGCTGCTTGCAAAAGGAGGGTACAGAGGAGCTACGACTCGCGCCAGATATTCACGATGCCGTCTTTAATCCGGCTGTTGAATCCGAGTTTCTCGCGGTGGCTTATCAAGACGGAGACGTCGTTGTCTTTGAGATGGATGAGTGGAATCCCCAGCAGGTATGTGCTTACAGCATACATGCATACGTCCTAGCGAGCTCGCCAGATGGTCGGACGCTAGCAGCAGGAGATACCATGGGCGGTGTATCACTGTTCGCGTTCGAGACTCTCCAGCTACTACATCGCATCGAGCCTCTGGAAGAGGTTGCAACGGGCATGATTTTCTCATCCAACAGCCTGAGACTGTACGACGTTCGAGGGCGCTCTTGCAACATTTGGGAGCCATCCGTCCTTTTCCGCAAGAATTTCACAGACGATAACTCAACCGACCCGGAAGACCCAGAACCAACCATTGCTGAGCCAGAAGAGTCGGTACATCAAGCTTTTGACGACAGCAAGACTATTACTGTCATTGCACCGGCAGTCGAGGACAAGCTAGTGTTTTGTGGCCGCGACGATGGGTTTATTTCCGTGCATGAAATCAAGACCGGCAAAGAAGTTTTTGAATTAAAACTTCACTCTACCTCCATCCAACATATTGAGTGGAACGGTTCAGCGCGTCTCCTCGTAACCGCCGATACGTCCAGCCGGTGCAGAGCAACTCGGCTGTCGTCCTTTCGGGTACAAACCCCACCTCTTCGGTCGTGCGCAACAGAAACCATCTTCAATCGAAGGTCCCCACTTGCCATCTCCCAAGTTATAGTAAGGCCCGATGGACACGCTGTCCTATTGTCCAGCGAGAATGGGGAGGAGTTGTGTGAAGCCGACCAGGTCACACAAAGCACACACTCGATTGGTGCTGCTCGATGGGTGCAGCATCCGGTGGACCGAACCCGCTTGTGCCTGTTCCAGGGACACAAGGTCAGAATATTTGGCTGGAATCGCCTGTCAGTCGCTGAAGGGTTGCCCGAGGCTGGTATTTCCCTCGTAGGCATCCACGACTCCGAAGAGCTACCTCTAAGGAACCTGTGGTTCTCCACCGCCGAAGCGAGGATGCTCGTACAAGCGTCACCACTTCCACAAGCGCCGTCGTCGGCAAACATGCTTGCGTTCTTGACTCTCGATTCGGATACTCTCGGACCAACCTCGACAGAAGTAAGGGTAAAGTGCGCGGTACTACCTCAGATCTCGTCGCTTGGCGGAGTCAAGGCAATCATCGGACTCACGCGCTCCACGGTGTTGTTCCTCACGCGCAGCGGGTGGATCTGTTCCCTGAGCTTGAAATCGTTTCCGGACCTCAAGTCTTACACGCGTCACCTGTATATTCCGCCCTTTTGGCGTGCCGGGGGAGATTTTCTAGTCAAGGTTGTGGCCAAAGATACGCTTGCCATTGCAAACCGGGATGACTTGGTCATTGTTCACGGGTTCCTGAACTTTGAACACAAGTTTCAGTTTGAGGATTGTCTAGAATAGCACTGCTCTTTTGTGTATTCAACCTGTTCGCACTTGTGTGCTGATCTCGAGCCTCGAATTATGGGAGCAGTAACCGTGGTCAATGGCTAATAACAAGTTATCATTTGCTATCGTAGATAGTAAATTCACAACCAGATACAGTACCGTAGCATTCTAGTCCCTTACCTGGTAATCTTGTAGAAACACCTTGGAGGATGACGGGATTTACGCAACGTACGATCGTCTGGATATTTGTAGCGCTTGATTCTGATACAATTAGTTGAAAACAGGGTACGTGTCGACATGGGCAGAGTGTGTCAAACAATGGATCGCGCTGTAGCTACACGATCACGTTGATTTGTTTGTGTTGGATTTCCGAGACCACTAGCGGGGCCAGTAGGGACCATTAAATCGAAGGAAGAATGTCCATACCATACGGACACTCAGAACGTAGCTCAAACCGGCAGGTACCCCGTGCCTAGAAGCTTCCCGGAAGGGATCCTCTCGGCCAAATCCATCAGGGTGCCCGGAAGCTCTCCTTGGGAGCGGGGAAAACGTTCGGGACCACCCAAGGAGGGGGAGCTCCCCTAGAAGGAGGAGCCACAACGGCCAACGTCATCAGGCAGACAGAGCTTCACCGGCAACCCCTGCTCGACGCGAAAAGGTTCTCACAGATGGAAGGTGCCTTCTGCAGCCCTCTTCAGTCTTCACAGCACGAGCAGAGCCCCACACGGTGTACCCCTAGGGCTACCCTGAGCCCTCACCCCTCCACACTATTTCAAACCAGAATCAGACTTTGCTCAATTTCTTCTCTTCGTTCTCGACCATCTTCTCGATCAGACTTGCGACTTCTTCCCTCATTACTTGGTCCGTCTTCTCACAACTACACCGATCCATTCTCCGACTTTATTCAGCCACTGTCACAAGAACGACTTCACTGATTTGATTATTCAACCTCGTTGACCTCTCTCTTGCATCTGTTTGCCAGGCTGTCTTGTCCGACTTGGTAAGCTCCCTCTTTCCTAAAGTTCATCACCTTCCGACTTCGAAGCCTCGTCTTGTGGCATTATTGGAACCGATCTGCCTCTGTTTCTAGTCCAGCCGGTGCCGACGCCGACGCCAGCAATGCTGATTTGTCCCCGCGAGTGAAATTGACTGTTTCCGGCATCACGAGCTAACACATCTTTCAAAGAAGGGCAGAGACTCGGTTCAGCGCATAGCAGCTTGCCATCACCAGCTTCCAAGAACGCAAAGGGTCGAGACGACTATTTCTGCATCCTCGGGTACTGTCAAGATACTCTCGCTTTTCGGACCTGTTCTCGTACTTGAAGAGAATTCATACGTACACAACCACTTTTTCATACGTACACAACATTCACCGCATCATTCTCAGCTCGTCATCGGAGAACTCCTCTGATGACGAGCTGAACTACAAAAAGCTCAAGGGAGCAAAAGTTCCCAGGCATGGGAATGTTGGACGCCGCCGACCCGGACGACCGAAAGAAGCGCAATCAGCGCAAGGATGGATCCGTCGTCGAGAAGATGAAGAAGTCTTCTGAGCAGGTCCATGCCCCGGCCCAGCTCGATGACCTGGTCGGCCGTCAAGATCAGCTTGAGGCCGCCAGCCTACGGAGATGGTTTGGACTCGAGTTCAGTTCTGTAGATGTGTTTAGCCTCGGCAGCAGCAACAGTCAGAGCAAGGACAGGAGGCCGAACAGATGGCCGCCGAGGCTAAACACATCTACAGAACTCCGTCTGTCAACGGATCCGAGGTTAGTACCCCCCTTGTCTTGACATCTTTTGTCGGATGTACAGTAGTAGCTAACAGTTATTTGTATCTGGACAGGATGGGGAGGAGGACGAGATCAATGCGTACCTCAGGAAGGAAAAGAAGCGTGGTAGTGGAGCAGCCTGTCAACAGCCAACTGCATCCTGTGCATCAAGAAGCCCACTTTCTCAGGCTGCTCCACTGCCACGATATCTCCCTCAACAGGAGCAAGGAAGACTGGGCGGGAGTGCGGGTGGGTGGTTGGTGATTTTTTAGTCACGGAGACTGGGTTAGTCTACACATTCACGACGCCAAAGCTACAACCTCTCGTCACCGAGGCAGAGGAGGGGTCTGCTCATAAGGTTGCCAAGCTCGACTCCATCTCCATAGATAGTTAATAACATCCTTTTGGTTTCTTGCTACACATTTGCCTGGCTGTGCTCACCGTGCCAAAGTTTCAAGGCCCATGTCAGTGACAAAGCTGGAAGTTTTCAGCTCTGGTAAGGGCAAGGTAGAAGACTTGCCTTCTATTAAGGTAGGAATAAATGCCGTCAAGAAATTCAAACTCTACCTCTGTACTGCATCAACTAAGATTTGAATGAAACCTGTTACACTGCTGTGCTTTGCTGTTGGGGAAACAAGCATTTTGAAACTGCGAAACGAAAAAAATAAGAATAAACAGTCAATTAGTTTAAGAGGGTGAAGATAACTAAAAAGAAAAATTCGCAAAAAAGAGAAAAGATATGGGGGCCACCCGGGGATTGAACCCGGGACCTCTCGCATAAGCTTGTTAACAAGCTCTTGGAACTCGGGTGTGACCCTAAGCGAGAATCATACCACTAGACCAGCGGCCCTTGTTGGGAAGTATTGATAGGTGGGCCACACTTGAGGTACATATGGCTGTTGTGGGGCCTAGGTTCGGTCAATTCCACTTTCGACTCGGCCCACCAATATGTAAGCCGGCGAGAGAACTCTGGACAAAGGGGTGTTATTCATATCCTTTTCTGGGTTATGGATATAAAGAAAGATATGAAATTGGTTATTTTAACTTGAGCTATGACTTTTGTGTTCTGATCTTTCGTTTTGGGCTTCCTGACGTTGAAGCGTTGTGACTAAGAGTGGTATGCACGTATGCAAACCAATGCATTTAGACGAGGTGAGGGAGACAGAGCACATGCATATATCCAGATATAGGGAAATAGGCGACGAACAAGCCGTTTTGTTTGTTTGCCAACCATGGGCCCCAGTGATTAAGGTGCTGAGAGGGCGTTTCTCACAAAAAAAGCAGGTTCGGCAGTCGATGAACGCAATAAAGATTTCGGCCAAATGTTTTCATTTTCCTCAGCAACCATACCCTCATCTAATGTAGGTATGGTAGGTAGGTTCCTAGGTAGCTCAAACTCCAAAATGCTTCACTGCACCAGCATGGCAAAATGGCCCAAGAAGAGAAGGTTCATAATAATATGTATCCATTAAACTCCAACTTCATTCCGAAGACGGACGTGAGAATCTTGTCCACATCCCTAAAGAACTAATAACAACCAAGGTAAATACAAAGGGGGGTATCCTATACAGCAGCAACAACACCAAACGATACATGAAGACGAAAAGAAAAAAGAACCCAAAAAGAACCCATATGGCATGTGCATATGCAGTCATGAGTTACTGAGGCGTGAACGCCGTGCGTGCATCTGACGGTCTGAGGCGTGAAGAGAAGCGGAGTTGGCAGGAAAAAAGAAGAGGAGGAGGAGGCTGATCCAGACATGGCTTGTTTTTGGGCTTTTGGGCTTTGTGCTGTTTTTGGAGGGATTTGATGGGTACACACTCGGGGAAGATTAAGGTGCTTATTTTCTCGTTCTTGTTTTGTGGGCTTTCGGTTCTCCTTTTTGACATATTTTTGTGAAAGTTTCTTGGCCCCTTATCCTTCCTGTGTCCGCTTTCTTTCTGACGAGAGAATTGACAATAATGAAATAGTGGTAATGAGTGACTGTGGTCAGGTTTTGTGACAATAAGGAAATGGACAAATGAGTGTGGGTGTGACATGTAATGGATCAGCCGGAACCTCTTCTTCTTCTTCTTCTCCTTCTGACAACATCATCCGCCTCATTCCTTCTCAAAGCTAGGCGTGCTTCGTCTCGTGACATCGGCTGAAGACCGCGGAGTGATGGACAAGAGCCTTGCGCTGCCCGCGCTGATGTGGCGGGCGTGGCCCTTGCCGAGGTTGATGCTGGTAGCTCGTTGGATGCCAGCGCCTTCCTCGCCCGCTTCGGTGCTGCCGCTGGTATCGCTAGTCGGAGAAATAGGCGACGTGTCGCCTTTGTTCTCTTCCTTATCAGCAACAACGATCTCAGGGCACTTGCCGACCGAGTTGAGAAGACCCTCAAAGCTCTTCATATGCCCAACGCCGTGAGAATGGACGACAGTCGGGTGGTGGCCTCTGACCGAGCCCCAATGGGCTTCTCCCTCGCCATCGCTCGAGGGACGGCCTTCACCCAAGGTAGACTGACGATTGCGATCGGCGACAGGCGAATGTGTTGCCACGCGCGAGAGGTAGTCGTCCTCTGTTATGGACATGTCTTCGTGTTCTCGGCGCTCCTCGTCGTACTCGTGCTCTGATTCCGGAGTTCGGCGGGGAATCTCGACGGGCGTATGCTGCATCACGCTCGAGGACACGCGCTTCTTGGACAACCGACCGGATAACCAAGATGCTTCCGAATCGATCGAGGCCAGCGACATGGACTGTGGCTCGGGAGATGGCATGGGTGGCTCATCTGGATGACCAAAAGTGGAGGGGGTCTGTCGCATTGCTTCCATTGCTCCCTGCTCAGAGTTAGGGGTGTCGTAGCGGCCTGGTTGAGCCGGGACTGTAAACGTCATGCCATGGTGGAGATCGGGCGAAGCCTCTGCGATGGTTTGCGGGATCAAATCTTCTACTTCTGGGGACTGGAGACGGGAGTCTGGCGGTGAAATTGGGAGTTCAGGGAGATCCTCGCGGAATCTCGACATGGTGCGCTTTGGCATTCCCGAGCTGACCCTGCGCGGGACAAAGGTGGTGGTTGGGAGTGGAATCGGGGCCATTTGCATGGAATCTCGAGACGTGTTGGAGAAGGACGAGGGGCCCTCGGAGCTGCGCTTGTTTCGAACCCCCCATTTGAATATCGAGGTCCACGAGAGCGGTCCTCGCGAACTGCTCGTCTCCGAGCCCTTCCTCAGAGATTCCGAAGGCTCTGTTCGGGTTGTGTCAGAGTCCAAAGGAGATTTGGACCGCTGGAATTTCGGCCGAAGGAACGAACTCCGCGACTTGGGGCTCTTCAACGGGGTGACCGGCTCGGCTGCTTCGTGTTGTTCAATGGGTGACAGCGGGATGCTCGTGGTTCGATGGAACGTTGTCAAGGGGTCTGCAGGAGTTGCCTCCTCTCCTCGCTCGGCTTCAGCTTCGGACTGCTTGCTCCATCGTTTGGATGACTGTCGTCTCTTCGACGAAGTTATGACAGCCGACGTAGGGTCGATGCCGAGTCCGATAGATTCCCGGCCAAGGACACCTCGCTCCAGGTTCGGAGGACTCTCTTTTCCGTCTCGTCTGGCCTCCGCATCTTGGGCTCGTTGTTTCTCGGCTCTTCTTAGTAAGCGTTGCTCTAATCTCGCAGCATCCCGCTCGCGTTTCCTCTCGCGCCTTCGCTGGTCACGCTCCATGAGCTCACGTAGGTCGCCAGCACTTAGGTCGTCAGCGAGATCGTCGATTCGCTTGTGCGCCTTGAGCGTTGCCTCTGGGATTGGCATCGAGAGCATCCTCTGACCGCGCTGAGATGACCGTCTCGCTGGAATGACGGGTCCATCGCCGCTGCCAGCGTAGACTGGACTGATGGTGTACCGCAACGTGGGTCTCGGAGCCAGTGCAGCCAACGCAGAGACCTTGTACGAGATGTGCTCCGAGTCGGAAGACATGGTAGAGTGGATGGATTCGGCGAAAGGTATCGATATATCCGACGATCTGTTCTCCTTGTCCCATTCATGGCGCGAAGAGCCTCGGAAGCCAAGACTGAAGCCCGTCTTGATTCGTTTGCTGTCCTTCTTCATGGGCCGACCGGCTGTCCAGTCATCGGTGGCTGGCCGCTGAGGAACAAAGCTGCTCATGGCCTTGATCTCGGCCTCCCGCTCGGGGTCGTTCCGGCGCCGCTTTTTGCTTGACTTCTTTCTGGGGAGATGGTCGCCGTCCCGTTTTCCGTGTAGCGTAGGCACCCGATCAAAGGCATAGTCGTTGAAGCCACCAGTCCTGCTCTCGGTCTTCTCGGCTAAGAATGCGCCAGGTGCGGGCTCCTCCGGCTGTTTTGACCTCGGCTCCCGGTTTGCCTTTTTGCTCGGCTTGCGCCCAACTTTAATCGAGTCGTGGCGTCCGGGAGAGAAGCTGTAAGTTCTGGGTTTGCGCTGCAGCTTATTCGGCGAAGCCCGCTGCCGGCGCCCTTCCTCTGGCGTGCTCCCTGGCATGGTCATGGTCGTATCGGGCGTGGTGAAACTTCGTGGGGGAGCTGTTGTCTCTTTGACGCGCCCTCTGGTCTCTTCGAAATCAATCGTCGACACTCTTGAGCGCTTCCTCCGGCTCTTCCTCCTAAACGGCCAGAGCGCCATGGCTTGAACTGTAGAAGGTGGGGTCGTAGCCAGCACAGTATAGTTTATAAGTGATGACACGGGCGTGGATCAAAGTCGGTTATGATTGGCGGTATATCGATTTGAATCATTCTGCCCATGGTATGAGGTATAGAGGCTGTTTGTTTTGTTCGCGTGAGCTCCAATAGGTCAACTTAATACGGTATTGTCTCTAAAGCATGCTTGAGACGACTGTTCGTGTTGGCGAGATACTCTCGGGTATGAGGGATTCGGTGGGATGAGGAATGTACTGGAGTTGCGAAAGCACGAGCAAGACAAGCCCAAACGGACTATCTATCTTCCCTGCTCGTTTGGAATGGTGGAAAATGTGCAACACGATATGGCAGGTGAAAATGTGAAAATTGAGCCTCGGGGATCAACGCCAACAGCGGGGGATATAAAAGGATGAAGGGAAGGAAAAGAAAGGTTGATGGAAAGGGCCGTCGCCACAGCCGGGGGTGTGGGATTCGGGACGTTTTGAGGGCTGACCAGGACAAGGACCGGGGCGAGGGCGAGGGTCAGGGCATGCCACACAGACAGGCCGGCAGGCTTGACGGGTTGCAACAGGGGGTCAATACGGAGTCTTGTGCAGGCTTGACGGTGGCCTGGAAGCAAGGTACCCGGGCTTTTTTACCCGGTCTACTGGTTCTTTAATGACGCTGGTGTCGAGGTAACATGGTTTGAAATGCTTGGTGTTACTGCTGTAGGAATTGACTTTCTGCCGCTTCAAGAGCTTGCAGTTCGTACTTCAAATCGCAGTGCGAGGGACTCAAAGGTGGAGAAAGAATCAACACGAAGGGCCCAGGGGTGGTGGGAACTGAAAAGGGAACGTGAGAACAAAACGGAGAGGGGAACAGAACTTGGGATGATTCTGCTGTGGGAGGAGGAGGAGTGGGCCGAGTGTCTTTGTTGGCTCTCGTCATTGGACAGTCTGTCAGTCGCTCTTTCAGGTTTGCCGTTTCTTACCCCTGCCGGCGGGCTGCTCCGTCGCCGCCGTTGGCCAAGTTTTGGAGCTTTTCCCCTCTGCCTCTTGGCCTTGACAGCATCTAACAGTTTCGGTCCTAGTGCGACCCCATACGGGGTAAGGTTCTGTTGCCACTTTTTTCTTTTTACGCACAGATGGGGACGGTCAGTGACGGGTCTCAGATTAGCGTCCTGTGAGGGGAGCCGTTGGTAAAAGCTGGTAGGCTCACGAGGAGTCCCGTGCGAT